ATTCCCTCTCGAATGATATATAAAGTGGCGTGGTTAACGATAAACTGGTTGGACAATATAAGCGATAAACGCTGCTGACCTATGGATTTGTGTAGGTGGGGACTAGTATTTCTCGTGTTAGGACACCCACGCCGCATTTCTTCTCAGTTTTATATATGTCATTTTGTAGCCCGCGAAATTCTCTATCGAGTGATGTAGTAGTTTAGGTTTTCCTTGGGTAAGGACGAGAAACTGGGAAAATATTCTAAATAAAGTTCATTAAAGGGGAGAAAAGTCTGGACGCGGAATTTTTTCCAGGGGCCTGAAAATGGTTTTTTTGAGATGCTAGTTTTAATCAGCGAGAAAAACTACATCAGACTGGTGAATATGAGCTTGATCTGAGAGGGGGGCCGATTTTGCCTCTTATCGACCCCCGTCCTTTTGGATCGAAAACTGCCCTATGTGGAGTAACATAAACAACATGAAGTCACATTTTTTTGCGTTTCATACTTTTTCGTTTCTCAATCGAAAATACTGTTTCGACAAAAGAAAAAAATAAAACATACGAATAATTCGATTCATTGTATATTACGTGCTCATCCATCCGTATCAGATGTGTATTTAATCAAAGTATTGCCTCATAAATAAGTCTACTTCGATGACAGCGACATGCACGGACGATCAAAACTATTCTCCAATGAACAACCACTATCACGAGATGCAATCTTACCTGAACCAAGCAAGTTTTACTTAGCTTGTCGAGATGGAGACATCCGTACAGTGAAAAACCTTTTGCCTACAATTCCTTATGAGCAATTGAATCGATTAGAACCAAATGGTAATACTCTTCTGCATGCTGCGACACAGTACGGCCATATGGAAATTGTTCGACTTCTTCTTCATGAATGTGGCTGTCAACGACATGAAAAGAATGTAAAAGGTTTAACTGCTTATGAAGTAGCTAAAACGGATGATATGCGAGAACTCTATCATCGACCATCGGATAGAAATCGATTTGCAGATGAATCTGATGAAAGTAAAGAAGCATTTCAAATTGTTTCATCAGCAACAGATACCAAAGAAATGGATAAAACAGATGAGAATAATGATGATGAGAATAATATTGAAAGTGACAAACCTGCTCATCAATGGTTAAATGGGTTTGAAACACATGAAGAAATTCAAAAGCAATTAGTCGGTCTTAGTGGAGCAAAACAGTCGTTTCCTCATCTGTAGGACGATATGTTATGAAAACCGCAATGAAATTTCACCTAGGACAAAAGACCTGTGGTTATAAGGATAAAGAATATGCTTATTTACGGAATAAAACCCATGGCATAGAAATGATCCAAAAATTACTCGATGAACATATCACTCCTAATCATCCTGAATATGAACATTGTTGTCATTTACTTAATGAATATGCTCAACGAGGTACAATTGAATCTTTATTAACTCTATATACCTTAGAAACACCATTTTATCATCAATTACATTATACAATCAATCCATTAGCATTTCCATTGTTTATGCATTTACCTGACTTACAAGCTCGTTATTTTCAAGGAACATCATATCGTGGAGTGAAAATGACTCGAGAAGAAATACGTGAATATCATTGGGCATTAAATAATCGAAATAAAGTGATTTCTACAGGAAAATTTGCTTCGACATCAATCGATCGCCATGTTGCGGAGAAATTTGCCTCGAATAAGTCCTCTTCAACAAATAAAATCAGTGTTCTATTAGCATTTCATTTTCCTAAACCATGTGATACCGCGATTATTTTAGGAAAAGTTCCCGAACAACAATTACCATGCATCTCGAATTATGAAGATGAGCAAGAGATTTTAGTCGGTCCACGGACATTTTTTTAAAGTCACAGGAATGGAAACAATGAAAGTGAATGGAGGTCAAGTGATTTATTTGGAAAATATCTTTGGTCACCGTCAAAGTATATTGAGTACAATAGGATTTTTTTGTAAGATCGAATTAAAGAGTCAACTTCAACTCAGAACAAAAACATCAGAATTGAAAAACAACGATTTTCAGGTTGTCAACCGTCTCGTGATAGACATACATGCAGATCGTCGATAACACAAAGTATTTTAAATCGAATATTTTTTTTAAATTTTCAAAACTGGATTAAATAAAATTTTCTCCGTCTGTGCTGAAAAAAAATTCATTTCAGTTCATAGTTTTGTCAATGTGATTTTTCAATGAGGATAATCAATCCATGTTATCGAACCTAGAATATCAACCAAAAGAACAAAAATAATGATGATGATTCATTTCACAAGAAGATACTAACCATGGATCGACAGGACCAAGGATAGCCTTGGCAATATAGTCTCCATATGAAAATGAAAAATTGTTTCCACGAACACGCTGAACTTCCGCTCGTTCAGAACGATAATCATCAAGAACATCAACATTAGGTATATTCTTATCCCAATTGGACAAATATTTGACATCATCAAGATTATTCGTGCAAGTCAAAAAGCTTACATAGGTTTGTGGTGTACGTTCATTGCGTAAAACCGATTCCAATTGACCAATACCGACATTTCCTTGTTCATCAGTTGGAGCACTAGAAAAACAAATCATTCATTCCTTGTATTTAAATATCATTATTACTCATCGGTAGCAATGAGAATGATTAATTTTTTCTCATAAGAAACTGCTCGTTTCGTATTGAGAATATGCCGTAAAGCAGGAGTAATAGGTGTTAAACCTTGTGGTGGTTTGCTGAATTCTTGTTGAACCAATCGTGCATCAGTAACATTCAAAATTGGTGGACGATTGAGAAAATAAATATCAATACCATTGTTATCCATCACTACAGCAAGTTCAGCAATAATAGTAACCAACTAAAAATTGAACAAAATGAAATACTAATCATCGATTCTCTTGACTCACTTGTCACATTTCATCCCAACGGGTTTGATTCGACCCTTGTAATGGCATATTCATACTGCCAGAATCATCAACAAGAATGACAATTTCACAATTTTCTAATGTTCGAAGACGTGCAGCAACTTCTGGGCTCATTTCATAACGTGCAATGATCGGTTGCAAGCGTGCCAAACGAGGATCATTGGGTGTAAAAGCCGCGAATTGATAAGCCATCTTCTATAGATGAGAACAATCAAGCTTTAATTACAATAACTTATGATCTAACACTATTCGATCCGGTCGTTATCGCATTAGAGTAGTGGCATCGTTTTAACATTTACTAAATTTTGATACGTGCATGACTTTGAGTGTCTCAGCAACAAAGACTGTTAGCATTAACGTGCAACACAATTTTGACTTTCACGTGTCTTTTTGATCCGTTCACTGTAGAAAATAAAAACATTCTGTACAGTTTTACTTTGCGTTTTTCTTTTTATATTTCTGTTAGCTGTCGAATAGTGCTTTTATGCCTGTTTATTTAAATGACGCATACAACTCACGCTGACTATTTTGGTGATAAATACTATTCCATGAAGAAAGAAAAAGAAAACGAAAAGAACAGAACGAAACAATTTAGATATGTGTTGCATAGTCACCTGTCAACTAATCTCAACTATACAGCATAAAAAAAAAATATTCAGATAATTTTCTTTTTTCTTTTTTTTGCGAATGTTAAATTGACAAGAAAAGTACCGTATTAAGGCAGTATTTTGTATCGATCTACGTATACGATATTTTACTTTACAGAGACCAAGTACTTTATAACTTAGAAGAAATTTTCTAATTTCCATGGAATGATGCTTTCGTTTTCATTTATCTCCGGTACATTTATAATTTTGATTGTTATTTTTGTATTTAATTTAATTCGTAAACATGTTTTGTGGAAAATTACTTATAAATTAATACCATCACCACCTTGTCTTCCGCTTATTGGCAATTATCATCTGTTTGGCTCCAATGTGGATGGTAAGTGGTTAATCATGATATAAAGGAAATGTTTCACTGGTATAAAATGCAAAGCTTACGGTTCACAAAAAAACAGAAAGTTTTAGACAGAATTCTTCGGAAAACCATCTTGGAAACTAGTTTTCTAGAAAACTCCTTCGATTTACAAAACCTGGTACGAATATCGAAACCTTGAAAAAGTGAGGCACTCTGTAGAGTGTTCAATTCTCTATCAAATAGCATAGCTTTGAAATTTTTAAGAAACTGTACGAGTAAAAAAATTAAAATCAAAGAGGGTTAAAATTTAAAGTCTATTCATCATTAAATTTAAATTTAAAAGTGATATTCATCATTAGTGTAAAAAAATGCATCTGGTGATTTGGCTTTCAAATTCGCAGGAGAGAAAAAGGTTTTTGAATCTTCTGACTCGAAAGGAACCGTTAGCTTGGCACGCCGTAAGGAAGAAAGAACTGACTAGTTTCAAGTCGCTTCTCTTCTTGTATTTCTTTGTTGACTTTTTACAGATACGTCTTTAATCTATAAATCATTGATTCCTTTAACTATGTTTTCTACTTTTTATCAGTTTCTAAGAACGCTTAGGGCCTATATCCCATCTCATTCGAGAAGTATGATGTTCATGATTCTAAAATTTTTGCTATTGATCAGAGCTAACTAAAGCTGGTAATTTTGCATTCATACACCGTGAGTCAAAGTCAGAATTTAGCACATACGTTTACATTCCGTACAAGTTCATCTGCAATAATATAACCCTTGAATGAGGATCTGATCCTCTTGCTAGTTTAATACTTCAATTCAGTAGCTGATGTTTTCAACTGCGCTTATTTCCGTGTTTCTTAAACATGTTTTAATTTTCTGTAGTATTTCTTCGTTTGCTTATGGAAAGTTCAAGAAAGTTTCGTGATCAATCGATAGTTTGTATATGGTATTGTCTTTGGCCGATCATGTTTTTCATTAATGCTGATGGATTAGAAGTAAAACGCTGGAAACAATGTATTCATCTTGTTTAATTGATGCATGATGCATTTTTATGTAGATATTTTATGGTAATACAAAAGAACTAATAAAATCCTTTGATTATAAATTGTTAGCACCATAGTTAAAAACTGGCCTGTTAACAAGGTTAGCAAATATTCTTTCATTTGATTTTCAAATGATTTCGACTACATATACGAGTGGAAGGATACTATATAGTGTCATGTTTGATCAAAATAATATAAACATAAGATTTCGTTGTCTAGCAATGGTGCAAAATGGCGCACACGTCGACGTATTTTAACACCATCGTTCCATGATACAAATTTACTAAATAGTTTTTTACTCATTTTCAATGAACAATCAAAAATATGTGTATTACGTTTGGAAAACGTCGTAAATACAGTCACTGACTTGTACCCGTATCTTGCTGCATGCACATTCGATATTATTTGTGGTAAGTAATTACCAACTTCATGTCATATTTCCTTTTATATAAGCGACAAGTTGCAAGTTACAGGCGGCAATGGGTATTAGTAGTATGGCGCAAATAGAAAAGTCGGAATATGTTGATGCCGTTGGAAGGTATTTGAAAGGTTTGAATACTATCTAAGTGTTATTGACTGCTACAATTTAGAATTGTCACGCTTATTGCTCAACGATCGATAACTCCTTGGTGCTGGCCGGATTTCCTATTCAAAATGTTTCCAATTGGTCGAGAACATGAGAAGTTATTAAAAATTCTTCATGATTATACGAGAAAAGTAAGAGTAGCAGAAAAAGAAGTCTGCGAAATAAGTGTTATCTTTTTTCCACATAGATCATTAATGTTCGAGCAGCAGAATTTGAAAAAAAAACAATTGAGCGCCAAACGTATGGCATTCCTTGATACGCTCTTGACAAAAATGCATGAAGAACAACTTTCAAGGGATGATATTCAAGAAGAAGTCGGTAATATTCGTTGAGTTGCTAGCTATCTACAATGGCTGGCAGTTAACTTATCATCCTTGCTTTAGACACATTTATGTTTGAGGTATGTCTTGTCGTCAGTGACATGTATTGTAGTATTACACCATTCAGTGTGAATACTTAACATAGGGTCACGACACAACCGCAACAGCACTTCTTTTCTCGTGTTTTCTTATTGCATCGCATCCGGATGTGCAACGAAGATTGCATGATGAGTTAGATCAAATATTCCGTATGTTTATAACCCTTAGAAGAAGATAGATAGATAGGTTGATCATGTTTTTGCTGGTTTTTTTACAGAAAATGATGCGGATCGAACGTGTACAATGGATGATATAAAAGAAATGAATTATTTGGAATGTGTAATTAAAGTATGAAAATATGTTTTTAAATGGTAAAAGTTTGCAGTCTAGACCACTTATGTGACGAGTTGAAACCTTCTCAAAATAGGATACTAATCCTTAACTTTTTCTACATAGGAATCGTTGCGCCTTTTACCACCAGTTGCTGTGGTTGCACGAGAAGCTCAAGAAGATTTTATATACAGTAACGTTGTTTGTTCAACTTTGTCAATTAGAACTAAAAGTTGATAGATGTTCGTATTTTGTAGACGGGCACAAAATTCTAGCCGGAACGAATTCATTGGGATCCAAAGTATTATCCACAAGCGAATGAGTTCCATCCAGAACGTTTTCGACAGGAGAATAGTGCACACCATTCTCCTTACGGTTTTGTTCCATTTAGTGCTGGTTCTCGTAATTGCATAGCCATGAATGCAAGAACATATTTTTTATGCATTAATCATTACAGTTACTTTCTCTGTTTCTTTCTCTTTAGGTCAACGCTTTGCGTTAGTAGAAGAAAAAGTACTTCTATCAACATTATTGAGAAAATTTGTTTTAACAACCACATAGAAAGTAGAAGATCTTCCTTTAGCCTCCGAGCTTATTCTGAGACCACAGTTGCCGACACAAATTACATTAAAACGTCGTCAACAGTACATTTTAAATGACAATACAGAACAATAAGCCTAATATTGTTATCAGTCATACTATTCTATACTCCGAAAAAAATAACTTTATTATTCGATCTTCTTTTGTGACTAAAACATGCTTGAAAATTCAGTGTACTTAACCCGTTCATTCCCGATGCCTGTTTAAACAGACATGAGTTTACTCGCTTATAACTTTTCAACGAAGAGAGCTAGAGACCTGCGGTTTTCAGATTCTAAAACTAGACACTTGGGAACGTAAACCTATGAAAAAGTCAGGGCTTTCGATAAGGCTTACCATGGTGTACCATTCGAGACAAAATCCGAAAGCTTACCGTTCCCAAACCACACTATGGAATGCAATATCAAATAAAACCAAGCGATAGCCAGGACATCACTCCTCAAAACCACGCAAGGTGCAGACCTTCGTCTCCTTCCGTTCCGCAGACAGAGACATTTTCCGAGGACACCCCTGTCTGGTTCCAGACACGTCTGGAAATCTCAGAAATATGTGGATCATAGGTAACCGATCATGCCGATCATCGTGGCGATATCCGTTTTATTCCCCACTCAACCACAACTCCAGAAAACGCAATTTGGTGAAAAGCTGATTTTCGCCTGTTACCGTCAAGAAATGAAAAACCGTATATTTGACTCATTTCTCGTTCAAATAGACTCAGATTTTCAGGAAATTCTTAGAATAGGTCAGAGAATGTGGAACCGGTGGAAAAAAGCGAATTTGAACTTTCGTTTTTGAGGAATGATGTCCTGGCTATCGATTGGTGTTATTTGAGATTGAATTCCATAGTGTGGTTTGGGAACGGTAAGCTTTCGGATTTTGTCTCGAATGGTACACCATGGTAAGCCTATCGGAAGCCCTGACTTTTTCATAGGTTTACGTTCCAAAGTGTCTAGTTTTAGAATCTGAAAACCGCAGGTCTCTAGCTCTCTTCGTTGAAAAGTTATAAGCGAGTAAACTCATGTCTGTTTAAACAGGCATCGGGAATGAACGGGTTAATGTAAACATTTTACTTTTCTATCAAAGAAACACTACATTATAAAAAGTTATAGAAAATCGCCCAAGATCAAAAACTTGGTTTTTACCGGTAAGTCTGTGAATGATGATTCATTGGGATGAATCTTCTTCTCCACACATTAGCACACATTAGAAAAATGAATGGGTGCTAATGCATTGCAATTAGAATTTGTCTAAAAGATATATCTTAATTGGTTATCATTTCTTAATGTATGAGCGTGCATTGAACATTAACACATTACAACATATTATAAATAGTGTACAAGTGATAATTTTCGATTGAGCAGCTATATTGCATTTCGAGCGCGGCTCTCGTGCAGTGACTCTTAAGCAAGATTGAAACCTGTCATGGTGTGCTTCACTCATCCTCACCCTTTTCTTGTTTGTTTCTAAAACATGACATTCTTCTGAAATTTTGTACAGTGAATTAACTTTTGGAATTAACTTTTATAAGATTAGAGATAGCGAAACGTAGCCAAAAGCGATTGCAGAGACTTCCTATGCCTTTTAAAAGATGAAGTAGAGCTGGTGTTACTTTCATAATTATTGTTCCAAAAGTTTTATTTTCTTGAAAAAATCTTTCTTCTTCTGAAAAATTCAACGAGATCCTGTAAGTCTATACGATTGATCATAATCATGCCAATTTGAAAACTTCAATTTCAGCTGTTTGAAAGTACTTTGAACCAGTAAATGTTTTTTCACCGAGATAGAGTGTGTCGGGATATATCTTACCTAAATCACAATAACTAGCTATGTTTGCATTACTATCACCATGTATCCACAAATCATTATCGCCAAATATTGGACCATAAGCCCAATGATTGAAAATACCAATCCCTTTATTATTACAAACAAATTTCGTTGGTGGACTTCCATTTGCATTTGTCAGAAGAAACAGAAATGAGTTTTTTGCATCGCGACAACCTTCAGATGATGTCCAACTTGTTGAAGCATAGCCGCCAAAAAGATAGCAACCCGTTGATCGAATGACGGTCATAGTTGGACCTTGTTTATCACTGTGACGATGAAAGTCAGCCGCACTAAAACCATCTCTCGAGGCTTTGTAGATCAATTGCCAGTGTTGATCATTTTTTCCATAGAACTCATTCAGTTTCAGCTGCTGTTCGTCATTCAAGAGAGTTGTTCGTGAGAATACACCAAAAATCGAAGCTAGATTCAGCATTCGATAAAACTCTGCTTCTTTAATCAGACGCGGACGAAGTTTTTCATCTGACAGGACGTATTTGTCAGGATCGCGAAGGTATGATAGTATCTCAGCAAACACGTCACCATCTCTGTCGAAAAACAACCGTCCTTCGTCGTCGAGTTCCTGTTCCCAATTACCGGAAAAAAGTTGAGTGAAGTACGTATTTTTATCCTTTGTCAAAGTTTCAACGGTTGTTTGATAGTGTCGGCCGCCGATGTTGAGCAAAACTTTCTTTTTTCCATTTGTTTTGAGAAAGGCATCTTTTAGCTTCAGTAATTTCCATTCATTGATATCATTTGTCACTGCTGTCAAGGCTGCTTCGACGTGCCGGTGAACTTCTTGAACTTTTTGATGGAATTCTTCTATCGTTCGTTGAATTTTGGTTTCATAAACTTTCATATCATTCGTTGAGGGACTAGTTGTTTCATCTTTCTCTTTCATGAATACTTTGAGAAGACCAGTTAATTTCTCATACTCCTTTAGCATAGTATTGGTTTTCTGAAGAGAGGTGGCCATATTTTGAAAGCTAAACAACAATAACTTCCTATTTACATGTTTTTCTTCGCTACAATGAGAAAAAGTGCAAAACTTACCTCATTCTGTTTTTTGTTATTGAGTGAGTTGAAGAAAGAGTATAATGAATTTTTTAAATTTTTTTAGAAAAATGAAGAGGAGCGAGAAAATGTAATGACATTTATATGTTTTTAAACTTTTAGTGAACGATGCACATAAAGGTAAACACATATTATTAACACTTTCCTGCGTCGTGATCGTGAATAACTGTATCGCAGAATGGGGATTTTTTTCTAAGTAATACCTCCGTACGGTGTTCACTGCTTTTTGACGTGTGGATACGGTTAAAATAACCACGTTGAGTTGTAAAAAGGTGTATAACTTAAAAACGAGTGACTCCAGTGACAGTTAAACTGTGGAGATCCACTTCTAAAATTCAAACCCACTGTGAGGTACAAGAGAATTATCAGAAACTTTCAAAATATTCACTACATCAAAAATTCCATCGTAAACATCTACACGTAAGCCATGTTTTTCATCAGCATTTTCTCCTGTGAAGAGAAAATTCTTGTTTGTCAGAATTCTCATGACTGACAGTTTTTTGCCGAGAAAATGCTGATGGATGGTCAGAGAAGCGGCACTGTATAAGCTTACATAATAGTAGCAGCAAATGGCTTATATCTTATAGTCAGTTTCGTTCGAATGTTCTTAAGTTATTTTAAACTCAATATAAATACTACTTAGCATGAAGGATTTCATCAAAGGACGTTGATCTGAGGTAATTCACATGTCAAATAAGTTATCAGATGTTAAATAGCATAATTCATACCGTTTAAATATATCGCATTCATCTATCGCTTGCAATCCAATCGATGTTCCACTAAGTCTTCCAAGAAATAAATAATAATAGACACTATTTGTCGATTTTAAATCATGATCACTAATTACCGGACGAATGTCACCATCTTTGACTGCATTTATAGACTAGAGAAAAAGCAAGAAGTACCTGCAAGAAATATACACTCTCGATTATACCGTTAATTACCTGTTGTAGCGCATTGCTTATACTAGCGAGCAGAGTTCGTACAATATTACTACCAATAAACTAGATAACAAAAAAGATATGATACAATCAGTGATTAACTTTAATCCTTCATTTGCTTACTTTAACATCCGTTTGGGATGATCTTGGATAAACAAGTAAATCGGCAAATGCCAAAAGATTTCGACATGTTATACTCGATAATGGATCGGTTAATTTGATATTCAAAAATCACTCTGTTCTAGGTCGAAAAAGTCAAACAATTTATTCAAAAAACCTAGATAAAAGGAAAAAGTACTTCTGTTATTTCTAACGGTACAATTAGCAACAACTTACCTTTCATACAAATCGCTTTGCGCCTGACCAAATTGCTTGGAAAAAATCTTAAAAGGTACAAAAAGACCAATTATATTACAAAATTTGAATCAATTAGTAAATATGAAGAGATCACATACCCTCAGCACGGCTAAAATCATGTCCCAATTCCATTCTCGAAAGTCATTTGTCTGTAATGTGTTCGTATCTCTAAGACAAGTGACGAATTTCTCTCCCGTCAACGAAAACAAACAATGGACACATATGAAAAAAGAAGAAATCAGAATCTCGTATATGAGTTAGCAACGAAAATAAATAATGACATTACAAATTTTAGTAAATATATATACATGTAGCATGCCACAAATAACATAATACGGTATCAGTGTTGCCGGTCTATATAATGTATTAATCACAGTATTCAATGGATCAACTGATTATTTTTAGTCTTTCACTCCTTCGTATTCACTCCAGGTAGCGCGACATTACCACGAGCAAGTCGTTGTCTTTGAATAAACGATTATTTCAAATAATCACATTGACTGCTGCGTGATTTAAATACAGCTCACATACAATCAGCTATTATTTGATGTGGCAGTTGAAAAAGACTTCGGAAAAGTTTAAAAATATGAAGTCCTTATATGTATATTTTCTCACAGAAATTCCGCTTTTTTCGAACAGTTTTCCTATTCCCCGAACTTTTATCACAAACAGTACACGCTGACAGAATGATTTGAGTACTACTGGTAATGAAAAAAAAAATTTCTAAAAGTACGTTGCCGCTGACATTGCTGAGCGTCAAAAATCCTCAAAAAATGAATATCATAGATAATTTACATTATACACTACATGACTCATCCGGTATCGCGTTTAACGGGTGAGTAATTGAGAACCGCGGCTTATCACGATCGAAAGCGCGGTTGTGAAATTTAACTGTGTTTGTTTGAAAAACGCGTTTACTTTCGTTTCACAGGTGAAACCGCAGGTTCTAGCCAGGAAACCGCGTTTTTCGATGACTCTTTTAATTAGTGGTGGTACCTACCATCAGCCCAGCCTGAAAAATTTTTCGAATTACTAGTTTCTTAGTATTTTTTAGAATAAAGCTTTTCTTGTCTGTACGAAAGTTTAAGAGCGGCGTAGGTAGGGAGAGAAATCAACTTGGTTGGGAAAAATAAACACCACCCTTTATTCTTTCCCAGTACAGTCGGGCTGAGCCTACCGTGGCTACAATTCCCGGTACCGCCGCTACTTGTAATTCGGAATTCAGGAATTCAGGAATTCAACAATTAAGAGACACTTTTTATTTTCTTCAATTCAAAGAATACAAGAATTCAGAAATTGAAAATATGACTCTTTATCAATTTCTTGAATTCGAGAGGTCAAAAGTTCTTTGAATTTGTATCGAGTCGGTTTGAACAATTCTTGGAATTTAAGGATTGAAGAATGGAAAGGACACATAAGTTTTTGCTTCCAGAAAGTCACAAATTCACGAATGAGGTGGATTAGGGTGGACTTCTTCAGAAACTCGAAAAAATAATCAAAACCTTTTCTTGATGATGCATAATTATAGCCCGCACATTTCTGATTAAAATGAGACGTCCCTCAGCTCTAAACGACGTTTCTTTGCATAGTTATTTACAAGAAAAGCCGTAAATGTTCAATATCAGCTCAAAGCTACAGAAAGAAAAAGAAATTAATTTAGGGAAGAAATTAATACCTGGTTTTACAGAAAACGGGCTCAAAAACCCAACGTTGGGACAAACGGTTGCGATATTCGAATACAGCACCTTCGAGTACCGATTGTCCACTGAGTTTCGGTTCGAAAGCGATTTGACAGTTGAAGGCCTTCCCTCGTTAGATGAACTAGATCCAGAATTCCTTTAAATAATATCGAAAGTCCCTGCATAACAAAATATGGCTAAATGAAAGTCACAATTCTCGAACTCCGAATTAATTTTGCTGGAGAAGTAGGAATTCCTGACAGCGCATCCGTTAGAAACTTTTTTCTGAATATTATTCAGAATATTTTTTCCCGAATATAACGCAATACCAATCAGAATTCGCATTTTTACAGCGGAGTTTGAAGGGGAAAAAAGTTTTTGTTATCTATTCAATCTAAACTTTCTTACTCAACCCTCAATTCCGGAGTTTCAGATCGATCCCAACATATAGTCAAGAATTCCCTGGGATTTCGAGCGGGAATTTCTACTGTAGCATGTGATTCAATGCTGCGTAGCGGCTCACTGTCATCGTCCCGCGCCACACCACGCCGCACCATAGTTACAAACACGCTTCATACTAACCGGTAGTCTGGACCAGCATGCTGAGTTTCCGAACATTTAACATGTAATGTTGGATAGCGACTTGAAATTATCTTCACGCGCTTCTGTCTATGCTGAAACTGGTTTTGTTGTAAATGTTTCGTTCGTTAAAAGTACGGCGGTCTATAAGAAGTATTTACTTCCTACACACAGTCGCCATCCAGGCGGACATTTCGCGAAAAATCGAAAATGCGGTTTCGTAAAATTGAAATAGTGGGAAACATACTTGGATAGATGGGCTATCTAATGGCGTAAAATCTTTTCTTTCGAACGAGGAATTTGCGGGTAAAAAATGTTGAAGCAAAAATATCTCGTATATCGGCGCCCCCTATGTAAAATCAATTTTTTATTGAACTGAATTACATTTAAATTTTTGAAACGTATTATCTGGAATCAGGAGGCTTCTGGCTATCTATTGGTAAAAAGAAGTCCGTCTCAGATCAAGTCTTTCAGCGAAAAATAGTTTTTTCCCAAACGAGGTGATTTTTCCGAGAGCTATGTTCAGTGTAATGACTTTTCGAAACTTTCCGAAGCGCCAAATACGTTGAAAATTCAAACAATTTTTGACTTTTCGAATTCAAGAAATTAATAAAGAGTCACAGTTTCAATTTCTGAATTCTTGTATTCTTTGAATTGAAGAAAATAAAAAGTGTCTCTTAATTGTTGAATTCCTGAATTCTTGAATTAAGAAAAATCTCGATATTTATTTCTGAATTCTTTCTGCTAATCCTGAATTCATCGAATGGCTAATTCTGAATTTTTGAAATTTCAGAAGTGGAAAGAAACACTCGATGCTAATTCTTGAATTCTTTCTGCTAATAGTCAAAATTTTATCAATATAGAGTTCTATGAATTCCGCTGCCCCCTTGTATGGTTTTGTAGAAATAAATCACCAGATATGCTAAAGTGTAATAGTTTTGAGTTGTGTTCTCTTCATGATGTACGTTTTCGCTGTTTTTATGTGCCTGCAGACAACTGTATTTGTATTCTCCACTATGCTGTTGCAGCATAATAATATCAGTATAATTAATGTACAGAAAAAACAGTAAATAAATAACAATACCAACAGAAAATGATTTATAATAAATACATATTTTTGGAGAGTTGGGACATACAAACAATCCTCTAAAATTCCCCTTCGAGAATTATACTTTCCTACTAAAATTCTAAATAATTCCTGCTACATTATCATTCAGTCATCTCATTTCCTTCTTAGGATCCTATTTAGATACTAGCAAATCCTACGACTTTCTGATATATCTGATTTCTTTACTGTTCGATAGCCCTGACAATTCTCTATAAACAGAGCTAGTCAGAATATCTTGACTGGTTAAGCCATCTTGAAATAAATATTCAGAAATCTCGTCAAAAGACAGAAACATTCTTGGACGAATATAAAGAGTTCTATGTTGATAAGATAAATGTTCTTGGAAAAAAACTACTTATATATTTATTCACAACCAACTGACTTTTGCTTTCATTTTATTCATAAAAATCATTTAAGAGTGCTGCTCAACGCTTTCACCGTTATTCTTTTTATTTTTGCTTCCACTGGTGCTCATCGTTCAAAAGTCCCTTTTGGATTGATTACCGCTGAATCCAATGCTGCTAAAGTAACAATACAATGGTCCTGTTGCTCGAGAATTCAATGCAGATAGCACATTTCGAGCCATTCCGGATTTGCGGAATAAGCCTGAAGCTGTTCACGATAATTCGGCAAAAATTTGAATGGGAATGCGAACAATTTTGCCAAGTTCAAACTATTGCAGTTACGCCAAACAGTAACTGAAAAATGAATGCGGAGATTTGTTTGAATAAGTGATGAATGAACCATTCGGCTAGCAGTACGGACGGACAGTCTCCACTGGATGTTGAGAAAAGTGAAACGTAAAAGACAAACCATCCAACGTATGCGAACAAGTAAAAGAGGAAACCCCAGCAAAGAAACCGAATTTTGAGAGGTATATATGAAATGAAGAAAAGAAAAATAAGATACTGTTTAAGGACGGATTATTGTACTTTTATTCGTTCCAATTTTATAAATACTAAAATAATCTTCTGCTTCGTATAATCGTTCGAATGCATAAACAATATCAAATGGTGGTTTAATAGCAGAAGTCACTAATTCATTTAAACCAAAATTTTCATCATTAAATACTACAATGCCAACTGATATATCATTATTCAAAGCTATACGAAAAAGATATTGCTGATCGAACGGTTCAACATTGGTCGAAGTATTAACATAGAGATATTCAGGATTGGCTACTAGATTATTTGGAATTTCATCATTCATACGTGGATAATCAGGATAAACAGAACGTAAATCAAATTGTAATGTAAGAATATTGGAATATAGATTAAGTACAAAAATCGTCATTTGATTGTCTACACATGCAATAGTTGTTGAATTTACAACATTTAAATGAAAACTGAGTGAACGGACTAAAAATTCTAATTGAATATTAGATAATTTTTGATTCACAGTCCATTCAATAGAAGAACTAATATTGATAGTATACAAAATAAATTCGTCGAATAATAATAATAACTGCGGGTCAGCATGAGGAATAGCACTAGGTAAAAGCCAATGGCCAATAATATTAGTAGAAGGAATACCAGTCAATACAGGAGTAGTGATCATATTGGTAGTAAGGTCCCTAAAGATAAATGACAAGTAGAATTAAGGTGCC